ATTCGAATAAAATATCAGAGAGAAATTCCTCTTTTATGAGGAACAACAACAAAAGCTGAGCCAGACTGGACCAATCATTATCAAAACTGTAACTTAATTGGTGTGATTGATATAATCACAAAGTAAACAAGTAACATTGGATCAGAAGTCATAATATTTGTTCAACCATCAATCTGGACGTTTATAAACCTGAAATAAAAACACAATTAACTTTGGAGAATGGCTTTTTCTTGCATATTACTGTGTGTGTGTGTGTGTGTGTGTGTGTGTGTGTGTGTGTGTGTAGGTTAATGCAGTTCTTATCAGCATATCTGTCAGCTGTCGACCCTCATTATGTAAATGATCACAGAGATGGTGACTAATGGCCCCTGAGACACACACACACACACACACACACACACACACACACACACACACACACACACACACACACACACACACACACACACACACACACACACACAGCTACATTAAAGGACCAGTGTAATCCCTGATGAATCACCATATTTTTGATTTATTTTTACATTTGCAGTGAGCACATGACTGGCTACGTGGCTATATAGAGGAGGGGGAGGCGAGACTGAGGGAGACTGAGCAGCTCTGCAGTCGTCTGAGTGAAATAGATGAGGAGGCTGAACAGTGTGTTAGTGTGCAGACGGACTGAACAGACCTCTGAGTGTTGACTGCATGTAAATGAATCCCAGGAGAGATCACACACACATGCATGGACACACACACACACACACACACACACACACACACACACACACACACACACACACACACACACACACACACACACACACACACACACACATCAGCACTTCCCTGTATAGTGAACACATTCATCACATCGTTGTCAGTTACTTTATATTCATTATTAACACATACAGAGAAATACGCTGAATACGACAGATGGAAACACGAGTTTGATTTCCTCTAACGTCGAATTATGTGTTTGAGGTGTGAATGACAATTTGTCAGATTAGTCTTTCCTCTGTTACATCTATATCTCTGGATTCACACTGGAACATCTTCACTTTTGGAGGAATTTCAGTTTTTTACGAAAGCAATGGATGCTGGGACTTTAGGGGGATTTCTAAAAACAAATGTATCTTTCATTCAGCTTTAATTTGACTTAATTGTGTGTGTGTGTGTGTGTGTGTGTATGTGTGTGTGTGTGTGTGTATGTGTGTGTGTGTGTGTGAACTCTCTCTGAACCGTCTGAACATCAACATGAAGATTTGTGGTTGCACTAATTACAGCCATTAGTCTTTTTTTCTGAAAATAAAGTGGACCATAAAACATGTAAAAAACGTTGATGTTAAAACCGCAGAGACGCAAACAGAGACAACGAGAGACGCCAGAAAATGAGAGACAGATAAAGACAGTGGGATGTAATTAGGGAAAAGACACAACAAGACGCAACCAAAGACAAAAAGACGCAACCAGAGACAAAAAGATGCAACCAGAGGCAACCAGACACAATAAGAGACTATGAGTGGAACAAGAGTCAACAAGATGCAACCAGAGTCAACAAGATGCAACCAGAGTCAACAAGATGCAACCAGAGTCAACAAGATGCAACCAGGGTCAACAAGATGCAACCAGGGTCAACAAGATGCAACCAGAGTCAACAAGATGCAACCAGGGTCAACAAGATGCAACCAGAGTCAACAAGATGCAACCAGAGTCAACAAGATGCAACCAGGGTCAACAAGATGCAACCAGAGTCAACAAGATGCAACCAGAGTCAACAAGATGCAACCAGGGTCAACAAGATGCAACCAGAGTCAACAAGATGCAACCAGGTCAACAAGATGCAACCAGAGTCAACAAGATGCAACCAGGGTCAACAAGATGCAACCAGAGTCAACAAGATGCAACCAGGGTCAACAAGATGCAACCAGGGTCAACAAGACACAATAAGAGACTATGAGTGGAACAAGAGTCAACAAGATGCAACCAGGGTCAACAAAATGCAACCAGGGTCAACAAGATGCAACCAGAGTCAACAAGATGCAACCAGGGTCAACAAGATGCAACCAGAGTCAACAAGATGCAACCAGAGTCAACAAGATGCAACCAGGGTCAACAAGATGCAACCAGAGTCAACAAGATGCAACCAGGGTCAACAAGATGCAACCAGAGTCAACAAGATGCAACCAGGGTCAACAAAATGCAACCAGGGTCAACAAGATGCAACCAGGGTCAACAAGATGCAACCAGAGTCAACAAGATGCAACCAGGGTCAACAAGATGCAACCAGAGTCAACAAGATGCAACCAGAGTCAACAAGATGCAACCAGGGTCAACAAGATGCAACCAGGGTCAACAAGATGCAACCAGAGTCAACAAGATGCAACCCGGGTCAACAAGATGCAACCAGGGTCAACAAGACACAATAAGAGACTATGAGTGGAACAAGAGTCAACAAGATGCAACCAGGGTCAACAAAATGCAACCAGGGTCAACAAGATGCAACCAGAGTCAACAAGATGCAACCAGGGTCAACAAGATGCAACCAGGGTCAACAAGATGCAACCAGAGTCAACAAGATGCAACCAGGGTCAACAAGATGCAACCAGAGTCAACAAGATGCAACCAGGGTCAACAAGATGCAACCAGGGTCAACAAGATGCAACCAGAGTCAACAAGATGCAACCAGGGTCAACAAAATGCAACCAGGGTCAACAAGATGCAACCAGGGTCAACAAGATGCAACCAGAGTCAACAAGATGCAACCAGAGTCAACAAGATGCAACCAGGGTCAACAAGATGCAACCAGGGTCAACAAGATGCAACCAGAGTCAACAAGATGCAACCGGGTCAACAAGATGCAACCAGGGTCAACAAGACACAATAACGAGACATGATGGAACAGAGTCAACAAGATGCAACCAGGGTCAACAAGATGCAACCAGGGTCAACAAGATGCAACCAGAGTCAACAAGATGCAACCAGGGTCAACAAGATGCAACCAAGTCAACAAGATGCAACCAGAGTCAACAAGATGCAACCAGAGTCAACAAGATGCAACCAGGGTCAACAAGATGCAACCAGGGTCAACAAGATGCAACCAGAGTCAACAAGATGCAACCAGGGTCAACAAGATGCAACCAGGGTCAACAAGATGCAACCAGAGTCAACAACATGCAACCAGGGTCAACAAGATGCAACCAGGGTCAACAAGATGCAACCAGAGTCAACAAGATGCAACCAGAGTCAACAAGATGCAACCAGGGTCAACAAAATGCAACCAGGGTCAACAAGATGCAACCAGAGTCAACAAGATGCAACCAGGGTCAACAAGATGCAACCAGGGTCAACAAGATGCAACCAGAGTCAACAAGATGCAACCAGGGTCAACAAGATGCAACCCAAGTCAACAAGATGCAACCAGGGTCAACAAGATGCAACCAGAGTCAACAAGATGCAACCAGGGTCAACAAGATGCAACCAGGGTCAACAAGATGCAACCAGGGTCAACAAGATGCAAACCAGAGGTCCAACAAGATGCAACCAGGGTCAACAAGATGCAACCAGGGTCAACAAGATGCACCCAGGGTCAAACAAGATGCAACCCAGGTCAACAAGATGCAACCAGAGTCAACAAGATGCAACCAGGGTCAACAAGATGCAACCAGGGTCAACAAGATGCAACCAGGGTCAACAAGATGCAACCAGGGTCAACAAGATGCAACCAGGGTCAACAAGATGCAACCAGGGTCAACAAGATGCAACCAGGGTCAACAAGATGCAACCCGGGTCAACAAGATGCAACCAGAGTCAAACAAGATGCAACCAGGCGGTCAACAAGATGCAACCAGGGTCAACAAGATCAACAGGGTCAACAAGATGCAACCAGGGTCAACCAAGATGCAACCAGGGTCAACAAGATGCAACCCGGGTCAACAAGATGCAACCCGGTCAACAAGATGCAACCAGGGTCAACAAGATGCAACAGGGTCAACAAGATGCAACCAGGGCAACAAGATGCAACCAGGGTCAACAAGATGCAACCAGGGTCAACAAGATGCAACCAGGGTCAACAAGATGCAACCAGGGTCAACAAGATGCAACCAGAGTCAACAAGATGCAACCAGTCAACCAGAGGCAACCAGACACAATAAGAGACTATGAGTGGAACAAGAGTCAACAAGATGCAACCAGGGTCAACAAGATGCAACCAGGGTCAACAAGATGCAACCAGAGTCAACAAGATGCAACCAGAGTCAACAAGATGCAACCCGGGTCAACAAGATGCAACCAGTCAACAAGAAGCAACCAGAGGCAACCAGACACAATAAGAGACTATGAGTGGAACAAGAGTCAACAAGATGCAACCAGAGTCAACAAGATGCAACCAGAGTCAACAAGACGCAACCAAAGACAACAAATCTCAATGGGAGACAGGATACAATAGAAAAGAGACGAGAGACAAATACAGAAATAGAGATGTAATAAAGACAACAGGCCTTAACGAAATACAAGATACAAGATACTACCATGCGTTTGTACCACATGACTTCATACTTTGAATGATTTGAATGTGTTGGTACATTTATTTTGAAGATTAAAACGTGTTTTGGAGTAATTGTTGTTTTTAAATGTATAACCAAAGCTTTGTGGATGTTTTCTATCACATATTGTATATGTTCTGAACAGATATCAATGAGACAAACTGTTTAAAAAAAAGGATTAAAACTAAAACTAACATGGTAAACATCAGCATTCATGTTAGCTAGACTCTCAGGCTTGTTTAGCCTCGCTGCTGGTGTGGATAAATAGTGAGATCAGAAATATGCAGATAAAACGATTTCACACCGGGGTCACGCTCAGGAGAACGTGAAGCAGCTTAACACACAAACACAAATATCTTGTGATCGGGCTGAGCAGCAGGGAGACGGGTTATTACTGGATGGAGAAAACCCTCTGCAGGCTGTCAGGATTCAGGATTTGAGGTCAGAGGAAACAGATGAACCCAGATCAAAGCCACGTTAATGTCAAAGTCCACATTTAATGAAGCGTAAAAAGGTTAAGCACCGGTATTGGCATACAGAGAAATGATATAAACACTCACATCCGTAACAGTCATTTACAGTTGCATATATGGTCATTTACAGGAGTATCAGTGTGTAACAGCTCACAAGGACTGTGAAGTTTCACTTTTGGTTGAAGGTTTTTGGCTGTTAAGGTTTAAATATAAAGTTTTTACAGATAGAATCCACAAGTCATAAAAAGCTCAAAATAGCTCACAACAAAGAGACAGGACATGACAGCTGGAAAGAAGCTTTCTGTGGCTTTTTAAAGCTTTGTTGAAGTTGTTTATATCTGGAACATGTAAGCTCTGGACCAAAATAGACGTGAACAATGACTTAAAAGAGCTTTAAGCAAATTAGCATGGGCTTGCTGCTAGTTTTATATGTAAAGCTGTGGCATTTTATTTTTTTCTGCTATTCGGAGAGTCAGATGAGAAGATGGATATCAGTTTTATTTATGCCTGTTTAGCCTAGCTTAGCACAAAGACTGGAAGCAGAGGGGAACTGTTAGCTTAGCTATATCAGAGTGTATTTATGCCCCAAGGTCCTTTGTTCCCAAGCGTATGTCACCCTAACAAGATCTTTTAAAGTGACATAAAGTGTAGTTATTAAACCACAAAATACAATGGGACCGCCAAGCATTAAAGTCATGTCACAAAAACAGCATGTAGCTAAAAGCTAGCTGATGTTAATTTAAATGCATCATACACTTTAATTTGACTGTTCAATTATATTTCAAATACCTCCTATCCCTTACTTCCATGCTAATCCTTAAACTGTCAGTTGGAGATTGAACATGTTAGCTTGCTAGCTAAAGAAGTAGCTCACAGATAGATAACATTTCAACAAATAGATTTAACAAATAGCTTCAATGCTAACTGCTGCTTAAAACACAGTGTCTACATTCCACATTTTTATTTTTAAACCTTTTAATAATATGTAAATCATAAGATAGATTCCTTCTCTTTTGATGAAGCTAGGCTAACAGTTTCCCCCTGCTATAAGTGTTTGAGCTCCTCTAGGCTAAGGACACTCTGGTATGCACTCGTTAGCTAGAAACAGCTATCATAACATATGCTAGATGTTGTAGGTAGCTGATGTTAATTTGGCTTATATTTTCACCAACCCATGTAGTTATGCAAACACCTAACAAAACACCTAATATTATGATTGAGCTAGCTGTTGTATAGCTAAGCTAAGCTAACCACATTCTGAAGTGATCTCTAGGAGACACAAAGATGATATTTATCTGAAACATCCGAGTCTTATTTGAGAGATATGAAACAATTTGTTTTACTCTTAATGGAAGCTATATAAAATAAATTGTTATAAAAAGATATATGAACATTGTGTTGGTAAAAAGGCATCAAACTGGCTAAAACCAGGCTACGTTAGGTTGGTTTTGACATCCAGTTGACCTATAATGTAGGTCTTGACAGTCTTTCATTGACTTTATTGTTGCAGATTTTATGAATGTCCACAAACATATTTTGATATTGACAAAAACAAAAAAAGGTAGGAACAATCCACATGTATGTCCAAGGCATTCGAACCAAGAGGTATTTTTGCTTACATTAGGTGTCAGTAGCCTATGCAGAGAAACAGTTCATTTCACTGATCTGAAAGCAGGATTCTCACACAACCAGACATAGAAGATTTTACCACAATTGTTATAATGCAAAACCATAATAAATGTGGGCAACAGTGGTGAAAGTGTCATCTTTAGTGTATAAATGTTATATAAACTGCTGTTTGGCCAGCTGTCATTCGGTACCATGCCTGGTATCCTAAAGCAAATATATTAGGTTTTAAATAGCTTTCATCAAAAAATTAACATCGTAAATCATGACTGTGAAAAAAAAGAGAAGCATTTACAGACGTTTGGCGTGCCGTGTAGGTACGCCACAACAAAGGGAAAAGTTCATGTTATAATAAATACAAAACAAAGCTACACACAAATGACAGATTAACGATGGTACACCGGTCGTCCTGTCTGCTGACAGTTTGTCTCAAAGTGCAGGAAATAGGGAGATAACTGTAGCAAGGAACAACCTCAACACGAAGTAGGAACATCTGAAGAACCTTCTGAAGAACCTTCTGGACAACTTTCTGAAGAACCTTCTGGAGACGTTTTGAGAACCATGTGGGACCCCCTAAAATCACTTTCCAACTTTCCAATAAACTCTCTGAAAACCTGACTACAGCCCCTCTTATTACATTAAGCCTCAGTATGCTTGTTCCAAAAAGCTTTTTGGACTGTCCAAAAATGAGATCAGTGTGTGGCCCCCTATTATTATTATTTGGCCTATTTTCATGGCCTCAAGACTATAAAACCCTCGGGCTTGGGGGGCTCTCCAAAACCATTTTTTTTTTAGAGATCTCAATAACTTACCAGTATTTCTGAACTGGGATATTTTGTTGCAGGGGAGATATCAAAGAAACCTTGGGAAGCAGTAGAAGGGAACTTTGACAACAGATACAAAATACTCTGGCTGCAGACTACTCAGTTTGAAGCAGACAGAAAACCTTGATTTCTCTTCTTTAGGGGGCCAGGGTCACCCCGGCTGAGGGCCAGGGTCATCCCGGCTGAGGGCCTTGTTTGGCCAGGAAAGATGGAGGAAAGTGAAGGCAGACAATTTAATTGGCTAAATCCAAAACTCCAAACCAACCCTTCACCTTTTTCAAAATATGTAGTTCCCCAAAAGCATCTAATGCTCCTTAAATCCTGAATGCAGGATAATGTAAGTGATACTTGTTTACTGTTTTGGCTGCCATGTTGATTTGTTTGATGTGGGAACTTATAAGTTCACACTACTTGGCGCCTTCAGATGTTTGGTGTTATTTGTGTTTACCCACAGACTATGTGAACAACCCAGTGCTGTGGTATGAGGGGTGGGTAACTGAAACCCCACATGATCTGCATGATGGTACATTTAGACACAGGAAGTTAATAAGGCTATGTGGTTGCAGATCAAGTAGCTTATGTAACTTTTGCAAGGTTACTGACAAACTAAAGGATACACCAAACCGTGTTCCCTTTTTGCATTTAGGAATCATACCAAAGAACACAAGAAGAAATGGCAACAGAGGAAACGTATCTCTCACCTGCGATTACCACAATACTGGGTTGTTCAGATGGACTCGACTGGTTAACAGTAAAGGCTGTGTTAGAAGGAATCAAATGTACCTTCTTAAAAGCTAAACAGGATATGAGCAAATTAAGAAAAAAGCACTTTTGTTTTCTTGTTTGTTGACGTAAACAAAAGGTCACAAGTTTTTACAAATATTGATTACTAGTTTGGCGTAGTCCCTCAGGCAAAAGAGGCTTGGCGATGGTTTAAATGTAAGTATAGAAAAGTGTTTTTCCATTTTGTAAATGCAGCACTTGTCCATCCACAGTCTGCTTTTCCATCAGGTCTGCTCCACAATTGGGTTTGGTTCAAGTATGCTAGATGTAGGAGCCGAAATCCAATATAGCCCGTTTTTTAGTTGTACCATTATTGTTTGTTTATACCACTTTAATTTGTAATTGTTTAGCCTTTCCGTGAATTGTCACATGGGTGTGGTTTTGAACAGCTGCTGACTCAAACGGTGGTCATGAGTTTGAGAGAACCCGACCTGAACCTCAAGATCTTCTTCTTCAGGTTTCGAGAAGCTTTGATCTTGACGAAGGCCTTTGCCTGAGCTGGAGTCATTTCCTGCCCCGCCACCCTGGCCCCAGTTGCTCCTAACTGGTTCCTCCCTCTTCCCATCCCCCCTGCACCACCTCCTCCACTCTCCTCAGTGTCACTCGTGGTGGTGCTCTCCTCGATGTATTCCTCTTCACTGGACTCACTGTCTCCAAAGCGGTTTGTGGTGTAGTTGGACCTCTCATCCTCACTGGTGTCGACGATGGTGGAGTGAAACAGCGACGCACACTCGGCCGAATACTCAGAGTCACTTCTCGCCACATAGGAGTACGGGCTGCTCACCTGTCCAGCAGAGGGGAGGTAAACATTGGCCGCGGATTGGTTCAACAACTCCTTTCTCTGACGTCGCTGAGCACGCCTGAACGCCTCGTCGTACTGAAGCTCCATGATCGCACGTAATCGCCGGTAATCGTTCCGTTTGTGTTTGGGTTTGGCGACCACCGCAACCTGGTCCCGTCCTTGATGATGATGATGGTGGTGACCATGATGTCTGGATGCACCTGACCGCACACTGCCAAGAGTGGATGTGTCGTGTTTGTCCAAAACTCGGCCTTCTGGGATGGAGGCAGGGAGGCGTTTGATCCTGGAGGAGTTCATCCCATGAGAACCGCCAGGTGCCCTCTTAGAGACTTTAATGTTGATGGACGCTCCGTCTTCCAACAGCCGGTACTTTTTAGACCTGTGATGGGATTTATCACCTCTTCTTTCTGACTTATGCTCATTGTGTTCAGAGGTCCGACTCGTCTTCATCGTGGTGGTGGTGGTCTTCACCTTGACACTCTTGACATTCTTGCTGCTACTCTTACGGTGCTTGACATTCTGACCCTGGCTGGAAAAGTACTTAGCGTTGTGACCTCCTCCTGCTTCTTCTTCCGCTTCATCCTGACTGTGGGAGGAGGGAACTAGACAGGCTACCTCTGACCTTTCAACCTTCTCCGTCTGGACGTTTTGAAGAGGCTTTGGGCTGTTCTTGGGAGTAGCTGAAGAAGTTTTAATAACTGCTGGCGATTTAGGGAGCAGGTCCTGGTCGGGAAAGTAACATGGCTGCTGGGTTTCTTTGGGAGAGGAGTTAGCTTTGGGAATACCCAGCTCCCTGAAGTCTTTAGGCAGAGTAGAAACAGCTGAGGGAGGAAGAAGTCCTTTGCTTTTCTGTTTCAGCAGACTGTTAGTGCTTGTATCAATGTGAGTGACAGAAGAGCCATTTTGGATGCAAATACTATGAGTAGAGCTGTTCTGGTTTTCTGCCAGGTCACTGTTCATCTTGAAGCCATTTTGCATCGTTTCGACGCTGACTTCAGGGAAGACATTCTGCGTTTCCTCCTCAGGTTTACTTTCCACAGACCACTGCCTCTGAGGAGACCAGCTTTCCGCTGAGGCGCCTCCAGCCGGCAAGGAGGGCCTGAATTCAGACCCCCTTAGAGTCCCAAAACCGAACCCAGACACCTGCCTCACACAGAGACTGGCCTGCCTCAGGATGCTCTTTGACGGGTCAGTGCTGATGCTGGTTCTGGGTCTGCTGGTCCTGACGGGAAGGGCCCTCCGCTGAAGCAGACTGAAGATATAGCTGTCCAGGCGCTTAAGGGAAGGAGTTTGGGAGGAAAAGGTTGCCGGCCAAGAGGAGCTCTGAGATACAAGAGGAGCTGAAACAGAAGCAGAAAGAGGGGAAGGCTCCAGTTTCAGTCCTTCAACACCAGCCTCAACGCTTCTTACAGACCCGTCGTCTCTGATTGGACCCAACATCTGTATAAAGACGGGGCTCTGGACAGCCACGGCGTGAAGAGGGCTTGGGTAGCGGTAAACTTCGCTGCCATTCTTTGCCACCAAGTCACAGTGGTATTTAGACTGGGAGTCACATGAGGCCACTGAAGAAAGAGGATCCAGGGTGACCGGGTGAGGAGCCGAGAGCGAGCGACGGACGGTACCGGAAAAGGACGAGTCGTCACGAAGTCCTCCAACCAAACCATCACACTCCAAACAGCTGGCCCGTTCATCTAAAAAAGGAGAACGAGAAAGAATTTCACATTATAAATCAAAGCCAGACACAGCTGCAGATTCAGGATATGCACAGTTGTTATTTGAAGTCTTTGGATGGCGGAGGAGGATTCAAGATTCAAAGGCTTTATTGTCACTTGCATATTACGTCAAGTCTCCTTCAACAACACAACATCATATATATAAGACCCTAAACCAACACAACACATTTAAAAACCAATACAAATAGTGCGTAGGAATGAAATTAAGATGAAGTTGCAAGACCAATGTTGGAGTAGTGCGGGGGAAGTGAATGATATACATGAGAATACAATCAGGTAAATGTTGTAGAAGATGTTGAAAGTGACCAAGTACATGCAGGAGTCTATATACATGTAAATAGAATAAGATAAACAAGAACAGCGGTAGAACTAAATAAATAGTGGGCTGCAAACAGATGAACACTATAGGAATGAACAGCTGTAAACCACACGACTAACAATTTGCAGTTTCAAACATAAACAGTCTAAATGGATCTAAATTTGTTTTGCGCTGCACTGTTTCCTAATGTCAACAGCTGACAGGAAGCTGACGCTGCCCAGAGCTCTTTCCCTCTCTGATGAAACGCTCTGTTGAACGCCGTAATGACCCTGTTTGGATCGGCTGCATTAGTAAGTGGAACATTCTTTCCTGTGGAGACAGTGTGCCGTGAAATGTTAACTCTCCATGTTCACCGCTGTTCCTGGATATGAAATTAAACTCATATATGGGTTATAACAGAGAGAGAGAGAGCGGTGGGTGGGGGGTTAGGGGGAGGTATTGCATTACACTGTAGGGACTGCAACCACCATTTATCCCCAATTTGGTAGAATTTATTCTTGGCTCGCATTTTTGCAAATGTCAGCTGAAACAGTGAGCAGTAAATGGCCAGTGCAAAACCAATGTAACATTGGCAAGAGCGCGCTAATGGTGATCCATCATCAGGAGACAACACATGTGACTGTGTGTCCTGAGGAGAGACACCAACAGTTTTACAGCTGTGTCAACTTTCCACCGTCAGATTAATCAGCGACGGCATCAATCACGGTCATTTCTTGACAACATTGAATCAAACCCACATTTTCCGGTTTTGTTCAAGAAATAAGAACTTCATTTCATTTCATTAATACTTCACTGAGGCTCCCAAGTAGATTGAAAGTATTCTTAAAATGCATTTTAATGTTCCAGATTATGTTCATATACATGTGTTTTCTAGCAGACCAGGCAGCTGTGCAGGAGTTGAACATGCATTCAGTCCTTCAGGATCTTATCTGTGTGCTTTGGGTTCATGTTATCAGATCATCCAAAACAGATGTTTGAGAATGAACCGAGCCTCATTACTGCAGAAAGTAGATCCACAGCTGCTGCAGGAAGTTAGAAATCCTCCTGCAGAGACCGACAGATCTCATTCATCCACACTGTTGACTGTGTGTGTGTGTGTGTGTGTGTGTGTGTGTGTGTGTGTGTGTGTGTGTGTGTGTGTGTGTCAGGTGTTGGCAGGCTAGTGTTGGAGTCGTATTCGGAAGTGTGACAGTTTGAGCCTTCAGCGGGGAAACAGCTGCCAGATGTTTTGTCACACACACACACACACACACACACACACACACACACACACACACACACACACACACACACACACACACACACACACACACACACACACACACACACACACACACACACACACACACACACACACACACACACACACACACACACACACACACACACACACACACACACACACACACAACACACACACACACACACACACACACACAACACACCACACACACACACACACACACACACACACACACACACACACACACACACACACACACACACACACACACACACACACACACACACACACACACACACACAATCTGTTTTAAACTTGATTCAATATTTCAGATTTTTATTTTGAAGGCGCAACACGATGGTGTGTGAGGGAATGTGTGTGTGTTTGTTTACACAACAAAGTGACCAAAAGGAGCAGAACGACCACAAGTGACATCTAACAGCAGAAGGAGGAGGAGGAAGAGGAGGAGGAAGAGGAGGAGGAGGAGGAAGAGGAAGACTTGTACCTGCAGAAATGAGACGTCCATCAGCTTCAGCCATCGAGCAGAAACACTCGCTGAAGACCGAGTTAGACGAGTTAGAAAGAGAGCCGGACGCCCCGTCGCTTAACTCGTAGAAACCTGAGAAGAGAATAGAGACACAGAGAATAGAGACACAGAGAATAGACACAGAGAATAGAGACACAGAGAATAGAGACACAGAGAATAGAGACACAGAGAATAGACACAGAGAATAGAGACACAGAGAATAGAGACACAGAGAATAGAGACACAGAGAATAGAGACACAGAGAATAGAGACAGAGAGAATAGAGACACAGAGAATAGACACAGAGAATAGAGACACAGAGAATAGACACAGAGAATAGAGACACAGAGAATAGACACAGAGAATAGACACAGAGAATAGAGACACAGAGAATAGAGACACAGAGAATAGAGACACAGAGAATAGAGACAGAGAATAGAGACACAGAGAATAGAGACACAGAGAATAGAGACACAGAGAATAGAGACAGAGAATAGAGACACAGAGAATAGAGACACAGAGAATAGACACAGAGAATAGAGACACAGAGAATAGAGACAGAGAATAGAGACACAGAGAATAGAGACACAGAGAATAGAGACACAGAGAATAGAGACACAGAGAATAGAGACACAGAGAATAGAGACACAGAGAAGAGACACAGAGAATAGAGACACAGAGAATAGAGACACAGAGAATAGAGACACAGAGAATAGAGACAGAGAGAATAGAGACAGAGAGAATAGAGACACAGAGAATAGAGACACAGAGAATAGAGACAGAGAATAGAGACACAGAGAATAGAGACACAGAGAATAGAGACACAGAGAATAGAGACACAGAGAATAGAGACAGAGAATAGAGACACAGAGAATAGAGACAGAGAATAGCGACAAGAGAATCAGAGACACAGAGAATAGACACAGAGAATAGAGACACAGAGAATAGAGACAGAGAATAGAAGATCACAAGAGAAAGAGAATAGAGACACAGAGAATAGACACAGAGAATAGAGACACAGAGAATAGAGACACAGAGAATAGAGACACAGAGAATAGAGACAGAGAATAGAGACACAGAGAATAGAGACACAGAGAATAGAGACAGAGAATAGAGACACAGAGAATAGAGACAGAGAGAATAGAGACACAGAGAATAGAGGACACAGAGAATAGAGACACAGAGAATAGAGACACAGAGAGATAAGACACAGATGAATAGTTAGGACACAGAGAATAGAGACAGAGAGAATAGAGACAGAGAGAATAGAGACACAGAGAATAGAGACACAGAGAATAGAGACACAGAGAATAGAGACACAGAGAGAATAGACACAGAGAATAGAGACACAGAGAGAATAGACACAGAGAATAGAGACACAGAGAATAGAGACAGAGAGAATAGAGACACAGAGAATAGAGACAGAGAGAATAGAGACAATAGAGATAGACACAGAGTAGAACAGAGACACCCGAAGAGAACTAGAGACACAGAGAATAGAGACACAGAGAATAGACACAGAGAGAATAGAGACACAGAGAATAGAGACACAGAATAGAGACACAGAGAGAACAGAGACACAGAGAATAGAGACACAGAGAATAGACACAGAGAGAATAGACACAGAGAATAGAGACACAGAGAATAGAGACACAGAATAGAGACACAGAGAGAACAGAGACACAGAGAATAGAGACACAGAGAATAGACACAGAGAGAATAGACACAGAGAATAGAGACACAGAGAATAGACACAGAGAGAATAGAGACACAGAGAATAGAGACACAGAGAATAGAGACACAGAGAATAGAGACACAGAGAATAGAGACACAGAGAGAATAGACACAGAGAATAGAGACACAGAGAATAGAGACACAGAGAATAGAGACACAGAGAATAGAGACACAGAGAATAGAGACACAGAGAATAGAGACACAGAGAGAATAGAGACACAGAGAATAGAGACACAGAGAATAGAGACAGAGAGAATAGAGACACAGAGAATAGAGACAGAGAGAATAGAGACACAGAGAGAATAGAGACACAGAGAGAACAGAGACACAGAGAATAGAGACACAGAGAGAATAGACACAGAGAATAGAGACACAGAGAATAGAGACACAGAATAGAGACACAGAGAACAGAGACACAGAGAGAATAGAGACACAGAGAATAGAGACACAGAGAATAGAGACAGAGAGAATAGAGACAGAGAGAATAGAGACACAGAGAGAATAGAGACACAGAGAGAATAGAGACACAGAGAATAGAGACACAGAGAATAGAGACACAGAGAGAATAGAGACAGAGAGAATAGAGACACAGAGAATAGAGACAGAGAGAATAGAGACACAGAGAGAATAGAGACACAGAGAATAGAGACAGAGAGAATAGAGACACAGAGAGAATAGAGACACAGAGAATAGAGACACAGAGAATAGAGACACAGAGAATAGAGACAGAGAATAGAGACACAGAGAATAGACACAGAGAATAGAGACACAGAGAATAGACACAGAGAATAGAGACACAGAGAATAGAGACACAGAGAGAATAGAGACAGAGAATAGAGACACAGAGAGAATAGAGACAGAGAGAATAGAGACACAGAGAGAATAGAGACAGAGAATAGAGACACAGAGAATAGAGACACAGAGAGAATAGAGACAGAGAATAGAGACACAGAGAGAGACAGACAGACGGAGAAAAGGAGGGTCAGCAAAGATTCGTCTGTACGCAGATGATACAGGTCTCTATACACTTTGAGCTTTGACCTAATAATCATTCTTTATCAACTAGAACAAAAACTTCTTTAATTGAATGTATATCTATTTTGTTAAAAGGATGATAAAGCTGGCTACACACCAACCCGATTTTGGGAGTCAGAGGCAGTCGGGCATTCGCGGCGCCCTACTCAGGTTGGTGTGTCCCGCACCGCCGCCTCTTTACGGCACCTTTTCACACCTCCCGATGCCTCCCTAACCTGCGGCCGATTCAACATGTTGAATCGGCCGCGGGAGGTCAGAGAAAGTCGGCCCAAGCAATCACTCTGATTGGCTGTTCACACTACCGCTGCCTGCTGGTAAGGACAGTTATTGCCACTCGTCGACTGAAGTATTTGCGGTGTGTTCGTAGGCGGGCGGCGTAGCGGGCGGTGTAGCCGACGCAGGCGGCGTAGCTGACGTAAAAGTCGGGACGCCTTCGGTACGCGTTCTTTGGTCTCAGGTGGGTGTGGAGCGGCCTTAACATAACTTTTCAAACACCAGACTTAACTGGTCGATGAAAGTTCTCTTCATACTAAAACTTTTTTAATTAGCTTTGCATACTCACAATCAATTACAAGTATAATGTTGATTTGATGAAATTATAATGATCTTCTTATTGTTTTTATTCTCAACAGACACTAGATGATACAATACCAAAAACCTACACTACACAAAACATAGTAGATTATACGGAAGGCGATTAGGGCCACGTGAACGCTTTTACTTGAGATTTCACCAAAGGTTATTTCTACGTTTTTTTAAAATTTGTTATAATTTTGAGATTTTCAAATAAAAACGGTTGAAATTCTGACTTTTATCAGAATTCTCTGCGTCTTTCTCAGAATTCTGACTTTAATCTCAATTCTTTTTTTGTTAGTACCTGAGCTGGGTCTGCTGTCATTCTCCAGCTGGTCATGTGACGCCTCCGTGTCCAATCGCAGGTCACTAATCTGTCGGTCCAGCTCCTGCAGCTGAGTGATGAGTCCGGCGTCCCTCCTCCGCAAACAGTTCTAAAAAGACACAATAAAACATAATTACTCATCATTTCATCTCTCCGTTTCCTGCTCCACATTTCAGAGGGGGATAAAAATGTTATTTTTTCTCGAAACAAACACCTGACAGAGTCCGTATCCCAGAGGAGACGAGAGGAAACACAAACCAGAACAAACAGAGTGACTCGATTTACACTGAAAATATGGTTTAAGGCCAATAAAAAGAGAGTGAAGACAGACATCAACTAGGAACAGCTTGAAGCGTCTGAAGTGGCCCTTTTCAGATTTGGAGAGGTTTCCCTTTCCTGTAGTGGGGAAAGCATGGACACATGTGAACCTGAAAGGGAGCAGAAGAGACCCTTTAATACGATCTGGTTTTGTGGGTTTTCGGTATGTCATGTCTTAATTGTGGGTCTTTGTATTGAATAATTATTTTACTGTTGACATTAAAATATATTAAAGGTCCCCTATTAAACTGTTTTTCATCAATATATCACAGGTCTCAGATATATCCAGAGCCTGTCTCTGATTGGCTGAAACACCAAACAGATCATTGCAGCATTACCCATAATCCCCTCTGTTTCAGCCCTGTTTCCAAAGTGCTGATTCTCTGTCTGTTACTTTAGATGAAAATAAGGAGCCCCTCCCCACGCCCCTCTGAGAGACATTTGGTTACAAAGAACTCAATGGTGCTCTAGGAGGAGATTCAGGTGATAAGGGGGGGGGGGTTACCTTGGTTGCTGATTGGCTAATGGTTACACAAGACAAAACATCGTTATGACATCATCAAGTGGCCAAAATCTGATCAGTTCATTTTCAGACAGGTTTTTATAGAAATGGATCAAAAAGAGAGAGAATCTTTGTTCCTGAAACTTTAGAGTCTCTTTCCACAGAGGGGACACATGTTGATGAAGAAGAGACATGAAGAAGAGGGGACACATGTTGATGAAGAAGAGACATGAAGAAGAGGGGACACATGTTGATGTAGAAGAGACATGAAGAAGAGGGGACACATGTTGATGAAGAAGAGACATGAAGAAGAGGGGACACATGTTGATGTAGAAGAGACATGAAGAAGAGGGGACACGTGTTGATGAAGAAGAGACATGAAGAAGAGGGGACACATGTTGATGTAGAAGAGACATGAAGAAGAGGGGACACATGTTGATGAAGAAGAGACATGAAGAAGAGGGGACACATGTTGATGAAGAAGAGACATGAAGAAGAGGGGACACATGTTGATGTAGAAGAGACATGAAGAAGAGGGGACACATGTTGATGAAGAAGAGACATGAAGAAGAGGGGACACATGTTGATGTAGAAGAGACATGAAGAAGAGGGGACACATGTTGATGAAGAAGAGACATGAAGAAGAGGGGACACAAGTTGATGAAGAAGAGACATGAAGAAGAGGGGACACATGTTGATGAAGAAGAGACATGAAGAAGAGGGGACACATGTTGATGTAGAAGAGACATGAAGAAGAGGGGACACATGTTGATGTAGAAGAGACATGAAGAAGAGGGGACACATGTTGATGTAGAAGAGACATGAAGAAGAGGGGACACATGTTGATGAAGAGGAGACATGAAGAAGAGGGGACACATGTTGATGAAGAGGAGACATGAAGAAGAGGGTTTTGCCTAACAGGTGACCTTTGAACTGTTCACCACATGTTTCTGTCCTCAGCTGCGCGGTCGACTCAAAGCTGAATCTCTCGACCTGACGTCAGACTGAATCTGAAGAGCTGCTTTGATGTGAAACTCAGAATCACTTTTTAAAATAAACGCTGACAGAAGTCCAGAGCGCTCGTCCTGAACTCTTTTCCCTCTTTCTTCTTTCCTCTCCGAACATCTGGATGCTGTCTCTGAGCCCGGAGCAGCAGATGAGTATCTGACAGCAGAGGTCAGAGGTCACAGGAGCTACACTACCGACGCAGCTAATAACCCTGAACACAGCGATGATGATGACGAGCTGCTTCATCATCATCACTCAGACACTTCATCCTGTTGGGCAGATGTTTGAACAGGAACTCTCTGATCTCAGATGTGATGTTTTTGTCCCAGTTTCTCATTATTTGTGTTGAACCTTTACTTTAAAGATTTAAAGGCTTTGTTGTCATATGTACAAAAGAAACAAATGCAGAAATAACTACCTTTATAGATCAAATTAAAAAAATGTAAATCCTGTACATTGGAAGTAAAGTATTACCTGAACTAAAACGTCTCACGAAATAGAAATAATAATACAAAAAAGGGGTTAGGGTTAACAAAAGTTCCCAGGCTCCTCCGACAATGCAAACAAATAGAAAATAGTGCGATAATGAATGGCGCAAGTTAAATGCGGAAAAAAGTAAACTATATACTTGTAAAATAAAAAAGGATAACATAAAAACAGATTGTCAAATGAAATGGAATAAAACATGTGAATAATATGAAAACATTTCTTATTGTGGACCCCGCAAACTCTGCTTCAGTTTGCACAGCTCTCCACTTTAAGCTTTCCAATACTTTTCTTGTTCTTTTTGTATATTCATAATACTAATCATTTTTTACAAACGTTCTATTTTTGGTCCTTTTTATAACAATGTATTTTCTCCTACTGTGTTTATGTGTGCACTTAAACCACTGGAGCTTACTGTGTTTATGTGTGCACTTAAACCACTGGAGCTTACTGTGTTTATGTGTGCACTTAAACCACTGGAGCTTTCCCTTGTATGTATAAACCTGTAGTCGGTAATGAACCTGATTCTGATTCTGATAAATATGTAGACTGTTAACAAAAAATATCCTGTGAGAAAGAATCCATCCCAGTCAGAAGTTATGTTGTCTATTTGCAGAGGCATTTGGAGACCCTCCCTGTGGGACCCTCTGTATATTCTGGGCGTACAATTATCACCGACATGTGCGGTATGTGATTTGATCTGGAGAGCCGCCAACACACAGAGCAGGAGGAGAGAAGCAGCTCCTGCTGACAGACGGATCCACAGACAGCTGATAACTGACCGCACATTATCAACGACTTTAAAGAGGCCCTGCTTTCCCTTTCCTGGAGTGTGCTATAGGTTTTAGAGAGGACTCTTTAAAGTAGAGACACTACATACTGATATACACCTGAACATCAGCAGGAGAGGACTCTTTAAAGTAGAGACACTACATACTGATATACACCTGAACATCAGCAGGAGAGGACTCTTTAAAGTAGAGACACTACATACTGATATAAACCTGAACATCAGCAGGAGAGGACTCTTTAAAGTAGAGATACTACATACTGATATACACCTGAACATCAGCAGGAGAGGACTCTTTAAAGTAGAGACACTACATACTGATATACACCTGAACATCAGCAGGAGAGGACTCTTTAAAGTAGAGACACTACACACTGATATACACCTGAACATCAGCAGGAGAGGACTCTTTAAAGTAGAGACACTAAATACTGATATACACCTGAACATCAGCAGGAGAGGACTCTTTAAAGTAGAGACACTAAATACTGATATACACCTGAACATCAGCAGGAGAGGACTCTTTAAAGTAGAGACACTACATACTGATATACACCTGAACATCAGCAGGAGAGGACTCTTTAAAGTAGAGACACTACATACTGATATACACCTGAACATCAGCAGGAGAGGACTCTTTTAAAGTAGAGACACTACATACTGATATACACCTGAACATCAGCAGGAGAGGACTCTTTAAAGTAGAGACACTACATACTGATATACACCTGAACATCAGCAGGAGAGGACTCTTTAAAGTAGAGACTCTACATACTGATATACACCTGAACATCAGCAGGAGAGGACTCTTTAAAGTAGAGACATTACATACTGATATACACCTGAACATCAGCAGGAGAGGACTCTTTAAAGTAGAGACACTACATACTGATATACACCTGAACATCAGCAGGAGAGGACTCTTTAAAGTAGAGACACTACATACTGATATACACCTGAACATCAGCAGGAGAGGACTCTTTAAAGTAGAGACACTACATACTGATATACACCTGAACATCAGCAGGAGAGGACTCTTTAAAGTAGAGACACTACATACTGATATACACCTGAACATCAGCAGGAGAGGACTCTTTAAAGTAGAGACACTACATACTGATATACACCTGAACATCAGCAGGAGAGGACTCTTTAAAGTAGAGACACTACATACTGATATACACCTGAACATCAGCATGAGAGGACTCTTTAAGTAGAGACACTACATACTGATATACACCTGAACATCAGCAGGAGAGGACTCTTTAAAGTAGAGACACTAGATACTGATATACACCTGAACATCAGCAGGAGAGGACTCTTTAAAGTAGAGACACTACATACTGATATACACCTGAACATCAGCAGGAGAGGACTCTTTAAAGTAGAGACACTACATACTGATATACACCTGAACATCAGCATGAGAGGACTCTTTAAAGTAGAGACACTAAATACTGATATACACCTGAACATCAGCAGGAGAGGACTCTTTAAAGTAGAGACACTAGATACTGATATACACCTGAACATCAGCAGGAGAGGACTCTTTAAAGTAGAGACACTACATACTGATATACACCAATTGGCATAAAGTACTCAGAGTACTACAGTACATACACATAATGCAGGAAATCTGGAAACCCTAATGCGGTGATTTTGATTTAAAAAACACGCTATAAATCAGCTGTAGGTTGAAGTTATAACTAGAAACGCAGATGGTATGCTTCTTTACCATCTGATGACTCGCTGACACAACGCTGCTTATTTCAGGAAACACACACAGACACACACTTCAGATAGAAAGCATGCGGGTAATGCAGTCATGTGCTGCATTCCTGTGACGGCGCAGCAGAAACAAACTGCTGCTGATCTCTGACGCTCCTCTGCTCCCAAACAAACATCCCATCAATAACTGATTAACTGGAACCATAACAAAAAATACATTCTGCACACTTCTCTCCTCTAAGTGGGAAAAACCAGCAGACAGCCGGGCCACAGCGTC